ATCTTGACATTTGAAACCGGTATATATATATATGCCAGTTATATGATGACGCTGTACTGCACTGGTGACAGTATGTAAAAACAAAATAGTGAAAATAATTTTTTTCATTTTTTCATTTGCTGAAAAATGACAAAAAAAAAATACAACTTCAAAAAACTCGCCATTCCTCTTATGAATTACGTCGGACTGTCTACTCTGCAAAAAGGGGTCATTTGGGGATATCTGTACTGTTCTTACATTCTTGGACCTCAAGAAATTAGATTGGCTGTCAGTACTTCAGGATTGATCAATTTTCAGATCTATACCATAGTTTGTGAACTCTATAACTTTCCTGCAAACTAAATAATACATCCTAATTTGGGTTATTTTCACCAAAGACATGTAGCAGAATACATCTTGGCCTAAATTTATGAAGAACAATTATTTATTTGTAAACTTTTATAACAGAAACAAGGAAAAACGTGTTTTTTTTTCAACATTTTTGGTCTTTTTTTGTTAATTTAGCAAAAAATAAAAACCCCAGCGGTGATTAAATACCACCAAAAGAAAGCTCTAGTTGTGTGAAGAAAATGATATAATTTTAGTTTTGGGTACAATGTTGTATGACCACGCATTTGTCATTCAAAGTGTGAGAGCGCTGAAATGTGAAAAATGGCCTGGGCAGGAAGGTGTAAAATTGCCCGGTATTGAAATGGTTAAACTGTAATCAATTGGGTGAATCACTTCAACATGAATGCCTATCACCCACTCTACAAATTTAACACACTCCCAGCTGCTATAGACAATGTAATTTGCCTGTTAACGGCACATACAGTTTTTGATATTATTGTCTTTATAGTTTCAGGAAAATTAAACAATTACTGGAATAAAAATTATATTTGTAGTATATACATCAATATCTTAACCTATAAAAGTATATTTTATGTAAAAATTAACACACCACCAGCCTTACTATCTTTTTCATACTCTTGATGCTGTTTGTTTATATGATTCCATTTTCTTAACACCAGAGACAATGGAAAAAAGGTTTAAAGGAATCCTAATCTTTCATTTTTAATTTTTATTTTCTATTTCCTACTATTCCTTAAAATATTCCTTGCTCATTTAAAGTATAACTAAAGCCAAAACCTTTACTCTCCTTTTGGATAGAGTAGGCAAGGTTAGTTTCTTTTTTATTTCGCCATCTGTGTGCCATTGAGATTTCCCTTTACTTCTTGTCCCATACACACAACAGGAAGTGAGAGGGAATCTCTCCAAAGTTAGGGAAATCCTCTCCTAGAAAATGGTCTCTATAAACAGCATCCCCACTGGAAGCTTGTACCTTTATTTACTGTTCTTGTGGCAACTCAAAATTTGGATTTTTTCTCACTTTCAATACTTGGTGACAGAGGTAACCAGGATAAATAGAGAAGGTTATTCTCCCTAAAAAAAAACCTGACCGATGTTTTAATCCCTCACCACTCTATCCAAACCTAAGGAAAAAAAACTCTGGGCACAAAAACTTTTATGAAACATATTTCTCAACAGCCACAAAGGATAAATATCCACTTTGTGTCCACCAGATCCAGATATTCCCTTGTAAATGTAGCAGTAACATCATCACTGTGCTACAGCACATTGCCTGCACATAAAGTTGATCTATGGGAGGGGCCCAGAATGCCTACCCATTAGAGTCTGCCTGCCAAAAACTACAGAAGGGGGTGAAAACAAAATCAGTCATTCTGCACAAAAAGAAAGAGCAGAAGAGACTGGTCTCTATTACAGGAAGCTCCTACACAGAAGCAAAGATTCACACTGGATTACTGCAGAGATCTAGAAGAAATAAACAAATGCACACCAAGATTAAAAATACACATGCCTCTTGTATTTAGACAATATTTGCTGATTTCAGAGTTCAACTTAAATTCTTTAAAAAGGAGGGGAGTATAGGCACAGGAAAGGAGGACACTTAGACTACCATAAACTAATTCTATTCAATGTCCCTTTTCTCTAAATTCCAAAAATTATTTAGAGCAATAATTGCTGAATAAATGTGCCCCACAGACTTAATCCCAGCATGTTTCCAACAACATCAAGTTTGATTACACCAGGCATCAAATTAAAAACACATATTAAAAAAAACAATTACCAAACAATTTTAATCTGGGTGTTTTGCTCAAAGTAGAACAACAGACTTTTTTTTTCATTTTGGATTTGGAAGGGAGTATTATACGCCTTGTCAGATTTTTTTTTTTCACTATCACTGACCCATTGGGGAGATTTACATTCATTTCCAGTCCCATAGCCAAAACAGGAAGTGAGGAACTCCCTGCAAATTAAGGGAATCCCTAGGGGCACCTCAGGTCACCAGAACTAGTGTCCCCATTGGAAGATTTCCACTCTATTACTTTTCAGGGAACAACCTAAAATTTGTGATTTTCCTTTATTTCCACTTTCAGTGATAATGGTAAACAGGTCAAATAGTTAATAAATATATATATAATCTTGCGCGCTTCTATGGATAACAATAACCCTCCTCCTAATATTTACTCAGTGTAAATGTGAAATTATATACTGTATACATAATCAATTAATGATCCAAAAGTAGCTAATTTTGCACATTACCCTTTTCCCATATAAGGCAAAACTAATGAACACAGTGACCAGCGCAGCGCTACAACATGAAGTGAAATCGCAACATATATTGAAAATTATATGTGGAAAAGTCCAATCATCTTCATTAGAGTAGATCCTTCTGCAACCACCAAGTGCTTCAAAACATGAAAGTGCAGTATTCCACCACCAGATGTCTTCTCACCTCCAGCAGTGTGACCTCACATAATATTATGTTTGATCTAACTGCGCTTTTGGCCCCAAACCAGACACTAAAGATCACCTTGATGAATTCCAACTATGGTGCACACCTTGTCCAGGATACAACTCCCACCATCACATCACCTCATTCAAAGGAGGTTTACTTTTTAATCAGTTTATTTGAATGTTTGAATGGATTTTCAGATTACATCATTTTCTAGATGGTCTCTCACAAAAGCGCAGTTAGACCAAACATAATATTATGTGAGGTCACACTGCTGGAGGTGAGAAGAAGACATCTGGTGGTGGAATACTGCACTTTCATGATTTGAAGCACTTGGTGGTTGCAGAAGGATGTAAGTACTCTAATAAAGATGATTGGACTTTTTTATATATAACTTTTAATATATGTTGAGATTTCACTTAATATTGTAGCGCTGCACTGGTCACTGTGTTAATTAGTTTTGCCTTATATAGGACAAATAGACACTGATAGATACTGACTCTCCCTAACGGGGACACAGACAGCAATAAAAACTGACAGGTGTTCTAATCCCTCTCCACTCTATCCAAAACGAAAAAAAAAAAACCATTTAGTTATACTTTAATCTTGCCAAATAGACAGTAATGCCACACTTGCCTAGGCGCCACATGCAGAAGTTGAAAGTTGAGTGTAAGATTAGTATGTAATTAAAAGTTATGTTTGAGTTCATTAAAGCATTGTATCTGTTGGTTTTGCCAAGGTGTATTTGTATCTTGACATTTGAAACCGGTACAGCTCCTGTGCAGTTTTGTCAAAGTAATGTATTTTTTTTTCAAACAAAAATTAAATCACCTGCTTTTTAAAAACATATTTAGACGTTTTGATAAATCTGGTTTAATGCATACACTATAAACAGTGATCAAGGCTTAGGGCAGTAGATTTAGATAGAGCAGCACCAAGACTCAAAATGTATAAATTGTGATAGCTTTTTCCTTATTTTGTTTCCCTCTCCTGTACACCTCTGGACATACTAAACAATCTTTACCCAGGATACACCAGGGAATAGATATAAGTGGGAATTTTATGGTGGATACCCTTTCAAAGAAATAAAAAGCTAAATATACATGTGTCACAAAATTGACCTTTATTAACAATTGGCCATTGGCCCGAAGCAATGGCTACTTACAAAGAGGCTACAAACGTCTTATGTCAAACAAATTTCTTTAACCTGAATGATGACAGCAAAAGTCCAAAATAATCTGCTGTAGATGAATGAAATACTAAAGCATTTTGGTTTCTTCATGGGAGGGTGAAACGTATTTGAACTTTCTACTCATCTACAGCAGATTATCGCGGACATTTTCCATAATCATTCATGTTAAAGAAATAGTGAATATTGATCCTCCATCACTCCCCAGCTGATTGTAGTTTGCCTTTGCATATAAGGATATATATGGCTGTGATGTGTTATATGGGAGTTATGTTCTAATGTTCACACATGCAATTGGTTTTTGCATTATGTTATATTTGGTTTTAAGTACAATTTGGCTTTTGTAGCCTCTTTTAATTAGCCAGGGCTTTTGGCCCAAGGATAAATTGTGAATAAAGATCAATATTTTAACGTGTATATTTCTCTCCTTATTCCTTTGGGAGATTATCCACCTTAAAAGTCCCACTTATATCTATTCCCTGGTGTATCCTAAGTAAAGATCATTTAATGTTAATTGGGGATGTGGTAGCAATTATCTGATCTTATCCCTGACATTGCTCAGTAGTTCTCTGGACATTTGCAGCTAAATTCAGCAAAAAAAACTGCTAGGAGAAAGGAATAATGGGGATGCTGTCTAGTAAAGAGTCTGAAGGCTCTTTACAAGAAGCCACTTCTCCTTTCTCTTATTTGATGGTCTGTACAGATGAAAAGTTCCTATGTATATAATGCAGAATACATGCTGCGTACAGTAAAGGCATAGTTTTTATTTAAAATAATCACATGACACAAGGGACAAGCTGGTTATTATCCAGGTGTGCTTGGGGATGCATGATGTTTAAAAATATGACCCTGTACAGACAAAAAGACTGGAAGCTGCAAACAAAAGATCTAAACATATTTTAAAGAATAAGATGTAATCTAAAAAAATCTAGAAAAAGAGACAAAACAAGCACATCAATAAATATTGACATTGCAAATTAACAATTTGTGTGTTTTACCTTCTGCTTTACTTACCTATGCAGGTTTTGCCATCAGAGTGCAAAACAAATTTGACATGGCAGCCACATCGGGGTCCATGGTCTGTGTCGTCACAAGTGTGCTGACAGCCACCATTACCATAGTTACAGGTCACTATAACACATTAAAGACAAACAAGTAATCACATTTGTGTGCAGAGCATACAGTAAATACTCATTACAAAACATGTTATACATATTAAACACTTTTTAGAGTCTTTTTTTATGGGACATAAACTTAGCGTGATATTTATACTCTGACCCATAAAATAATATATACTGTATTGCAATAAATGTTAATAATCTAACTGTTTCTGATAATATTCTGTAGAAGAAGATAACAACTTAGTTGGGAAAATATTGCTTTATTAGGTATAATTTACAGTAAGACTATGATCTTTGATCATTTCTATTTTACTTTTATACACTGATTCTTTACATCATGTTTATATTGTTTGTATAACATCTTGATTTTATTAATGATACTATGCTTTTATGAATCATACTATGCCAGGACACGTTGGACTTTCTAATAAGAATTAAGCATGTAGGCAGTGCATAACTTTCTAAAGAAACTCCAGCACTAGTTTCATGCTTTTTGGCAGGTTGTTAGAATTGATTAGTTAATAGACGTTTGTGATGAAAAACTTGGGTAGGCATAAATGGTTACCTCCTAAAAAAGATGCCGTTTGCCTGTCTGTCTCTGGCTTCATACTTTTCAATGCACTGATCCAGTACAAGTATGCAGACAATGAATTCAGGGTGAAGTCAGAACTCATAATCTGTTAAATATTTTTGGTTCAGTAAATCAGAAAGCACTGAAAGAATTCCCATAACAGCCAGGTAACTAGCATTCTCAGAAAGCATAGTCAGCAATTGCAACATCTATATTTATCTTTATATTTTTTACAGACTTCCTCTAAGGCACTTTCATTTCTGCCAGAAGGCATGAGAGGCATATATCTGCCATTTATATTATTTTTTTGTTCAGTGGCTGCAAATTAATCCTTCACATTTCTCCAACTATTATAGTATTATTATAGCTCCACTATACACAGCTGCTGGTGCATCTGAATTTTCCTATGAAATGTTTTATCTGAAGGTAAATGTTACTTTTTAGTAAATGAGGTAAATGGAGAAACAAGCACACATACATTTGCAGTCTTTTTGGTTTCCTGTCAATTCAAAGCCTGGTCGACATTCACAGGACACACCCTTTGGAGTTTCTCGACAAATATGTGCACATCCATGGTTTCTGTTCATGCAGAGGAAGCCTTCTGAAAAAAGAGAGAAAACGGGGAAATTACAAAAGTGTGGATGGACAAATGGCAAATTTGACTTCATTACAACTACTTATAACTTTCCAGAAAATGTATGTACAGTAAAAGTAGTAGTAGAGCCTGGTTTGTGTTAGCCATAGATCAATGTAGAAAGTTTGAGTGACACATTTTGGTTAAATAAAGTTATTAAAGATACAGACTTTTGGGACCACTTAGGTTCCTTCTTAAGGTTTGATATCCTGTATTGGCAAACTTAAGTTATTAAAGAAGCAAGCTTTCAGAATCTATTTCACCCCTTCAGCAAGCTTTATGAAGCATGAGAAAGGGACCTAGTGGATCTGGAAAGCTTGCACCTTTAATCAATTAAGCTTATTAAGGTAACCATGAATATGCAATTAACACTTTGCTCTGTACCTTGGTATTCTCAAGATGCCCACAGGCAGTGATCTAGCATCTGTAAGTTGTCAGCCCAGGCTCATTGCATACAACAGGGAAGAGTAGGAAAGAAAACCTTCTATAGTCACTTTTATTTTGCTCTGATGTCAAAGGTATCTGTAGCATTTTCTCCCCTCCCTTCTGCCTAGACCCAAATAGTATTGGTTACTAGGCATTCAGACTGTGTCTGCCAGTCAATTTCCCTTCTATTGCCTTCTGAACTTACCTTCTGGTCGCTGAATACATGTATGTTGGTTGTCACTTAAAAAGAATCCTTCACGGCAGCGACACACTCATAACTCCCCATCATATTGACGCATATCTGCTGGCAGCCCCCATTGCCTTCCATACACTCATCTAAATCTGTAAGAAGAGACAATATAGTACAGTAGTTAATAACATGGATCATAACCCTGTGAAGGAAGTAATGACCATTAATTTGTACTACTTAAATCCTCATAGAAAAATTAACATGTGTCCTGTGCAAAATGGAGCAGTTAAACTGGCAATTATGTTCCATGCGACCTTTAAAAAGAATGATTTGATATAATATGTAAGTATCTCTTAGTTATTAAGTGGTAAAAGAAGATTATTTATTTATTTATTACAGGTACTTATATGGCGCTGTCAATTTACGCAGCGCTTTACATATATATTGTACATTCACATCAGTCCCTAACCCTCAAGGGGCATATAATCTGAGGTCCCTAACTCTCATTCATACATACACATACTAGGGCCAATTTAGACAGGAAGCCAATTAACTTACCAGCATGTCTTTGGAGTGTGGGAGGAAACCGGAGTACCCGGAGGAAACCCACGCAGGCACAGGGAGAACATGCAAACTCCAGGCAGGTGGTGCCGTGGTTGGTATTTGAACCTGCAACCCTAGTACTGCCAGGCGGAAGTGCCACTTAGCCACTGTGCTGCCCACAGATGATACTGCCCCTGCGTTTTTCCAAACTATTACCAGAAAATGATGTTATAACTATAGTTATGTCTACTTGTCTGTAACAATATGTTGCTAAAAGCATAATTACTGGTACACCTTTAACTTTAAAACTGTACTTATATAATTGAGACGTTGCTGTGTAAGTACATCACTATTATCTACTGAATTCTAAAGGTTATAATTTGATCTAAAATTGCATCTTGGATACTATTAATAAGAAATTTGCAGCATAAAAAGATATACAGTTATAATATTAATGTATTAGCGTACATTAGAAAAGTATACTAATTAATGCTAAGGAGCAGAACACTTCCACAATACGTAGAGAAATTGATGCTGATTGTGACAATACAGATAACACATTAAAGCTTATCTTAAATTAAAACTACAGGCAAAACTTTTTTCTTCATTTTGGATAGAGTAAGGGAGGGTTATTTCCCCTATTTTCTTTTTCATCTTAGCCATCCGTCATTGCGGAGATTTACCTTCACTTCCTGTCCCATAGCCAAGCCAAAACAGGAAGAGAAAGGAAATCCCTGCAAATTAAGGGAATTCACTGGGGACCCCCAGGTCACCAGAACTAGTGTCCCCATTAAAATATTTCTCCTCTATTACTGTTCTGGGGACAATTTGTGGATTTACTTTTACTTTTGATGATAATGGTAAATATGAAAGAAGAAGAATCTCCCTAATGGGGGCACAGACAGCAATAAAAACCTGACAGGAGTTCTAATACCTTTCCACTCTATTCACTTGCACGCTCCCAGCCCGGGTTGGCGCTAAACAGCCTTTGTAAGGGAGCTAGCTGCCTTATGTGATTGTTGGATGATCTTTGGCTCTTCAGTGCATTTGTTCCTTTGAAAGCTTGCATCTGTGTATTCCTGTTACGGACTTTGCTTGCCCCTGGACCTGTCTTCTGCCCACCTCCTGGTTTGACCCCAGCTTCTTTAAAGAACTTGCTCTTGCTGCTCTTCTGCGTAGGACTCTGGCTATAATCCTGACTATGCTTACTTACCCCCACATCCAGTACCTGATGTTGGTGTTGAACTGGCTACTCTTCTGACTCCTGCTCTGCCTGACACCTGCTACCTATCATTGGCGCCATCTGTCTGCAGCCACTACCTCCATGCCACAACCGAATATCTGACTGTCTCATCCACCAGCACTTCAGTTGGAACATCCCTGCAAGAAGTTCCAGCAGGCAACCCGTGCTTCTTTGACCCTAGCACCTTCTGTTATCTCCTATCAGTGTGCCTGAAGCTTAGCCACAACGGAAGCTCTCTCACTATTGGCCTCTAACACCAGTTATATGCTAGACAGCTTGTGAAGGATATCTACCATGTATATCAAATTACACATAGCAGCCTCACCTATTGTTACCCTATCCCCTCTAACTTTGTATGTCCTTATCCTCTGATAAATTAGACTTAACACTATGGAATAAATTATTTTTGTTTATATGACATGTCTGTCCACAATAATTTTATACAAACATATGCCAAATGCATTTTAATTGCTAAATAAAAAGTAACAAATGCAAATTCTTGATAAGTAAACAGATCAAACACACACCTCTAGTGAGATCAAAGCATCATATCAAACAACTAAGCTGGCAATTACAGTATCCTGAGGGTGTTTGGAGAGAGGAAACCTGGAACAGAATCAATAGGCATGGCACTGACAACAGGGATGTGACTTATGAACACACTGTTGAACTGAAATCTTAGGCGGTAGCTTTAATGCGAGTAAAATCACGCCATCCCTTAATTAAGAATGGCATAATAGACTGGGGAAAACAAGTAGACTAAATTTACAAAGAAGCAGTGTATGTACAAATATTAATGATGCAAATAAAATCTACATAAACAGTAAATTACATTAGAGGAATATACAGATCTTTAGGTTCCCTTCAAGCGCCATACCAAAACCCAGCTGTCCAACTTGTATATATATAAACCCAACTATGATTAATTGAATTCCATAATACTAATGATTCTTGGAACATTGAAATATCCATAGTACCAAAGGGCATGGCATGTGCCTCTGGAATCTGGATCTCTGCTGGTGCCAGAGCTGACTGCCCCTTTTTTCCCCTTAGTATTGCACCTTCTAGTTACAGCAGGAGTGAGAACGTATATTTACTTATGCTGGTCCCAGTAGGGTTTACAGTAGTTATTGAAGCTGGAAAGTGCAAAATCAGGTTACAGGTTTTATTGCTAAAGCTTAATTGAACAAGCTAAGCTTAAACGCTGTTTGGTTTCTATGCAGAATTGAGCCTGCTTTTGCATTCTCCAGCAGAGTAGTAATAAATAAACCCCAGTCTGTTAGAGACAAAGAAGTTGATTTACTAACGGAAAATAGGCTATTCACTTTTCAAGGGAATTTTTACTTTGCACTTTATTTTCCTTGCATGTAATTGGGCATCCTTTGCAAAGTGCATTTCACCACATTCACTAAGCCAAGGGAATATTCCCTTGACAAGTGAAAACTCTCTTGCAAAGTGAACAGCACATTTGCCTTTAGTAAATCAACCCCAAAGAGTAACCAATCTAACTAGAGCTCTTTCCAGCTGGAACTAATAATATATGTGATTTAATGTATGACTTGGAATCTCATTATATACATGGTTGATGTTTGCTACTGTTATAGACAATATTTTTCTGGTCCACACAACTGAAATTTGAGACCCCTGGAACAGTGTGCTCCCCAAGTTCAACCATCAAGCCAATTACTGGCCTGGTGGTTTTTGAAGAAGATAATTGTTATAGATTCTGTACGGGTGAATCACATTTGTGTCTTGATGGAGATAGGGAAATAAGTAATTACCTGAGCTAACCTTTACTACCATGGTGGATCTTCTTCTAGCATTCTTCTACTAGGTGCTCCTTGCAAATGTAGAGACCTTGTCATGAGTAGTAGTGTTCTGCTGGGCTGTAGTCAACCTCAGCCTTATAGGATAGTTCTGCTTTCTACAAATCTTCCCCTACTTTCAGGCTCACATCTGTCTGCAGCTGGGGAGTGTCCTAGCAATAGTGTAGGAAGATCCAATAGTCCAAGTTATGGAGGTTTTCTGTCTGTGGAACATGCTGGGGAAGACTATAAAAATGTTGTGGAACCTTGTGGAACCTTTCTTGCCCCTCAGGCTCTGCCTGGGGAGAATGTGTGCTGTTGTTCTTGGTCTCCTTGGCTTGATGCTTTGTAAACACACCAGTGACTGAGAAAGGTAGGCTCAAGGCAGGGGCCTGAAGCTTGCACTGCCTTGTCAGTTGAGTTGCCCAGAAGGAGTGAAGCTGGATCCTGGATAGGATCATCAGGAATGAGCTTCTGCTGCAAGATGATTGTCTGGTGGCTCGTTTGGTGAGTAAAGTGCTATTACTGCTTTACAGTCAATAGAATACAGATTGCCAGTCTGGCTTAAAGGATAAGTTCATCTTTTCTAACATGTTACATCCATATTCAGGGTGTACCGTGTAACATGTTATGAACAAACTGGTTTTGCAGATTTTGATTGTGAAGTCAATGCACCTTCATATCTTGCTTGTTGATTAGACTGCCAGATGCGCCATGGAAAGAGATTACCTGAATGGCCAAGATTCATTGTGGAAGCAAGACCTGCACAAAAGGCTATCATGGTAGAGATGCCAAGCTCTCATATATTTGGAAATCAGTACCAAATTCCCAAGTTTAGAGTTTCATCAGTGGATGCCAACAAAAAAATTGTTGACTGAGCTAGAGCTGGATCTAAATCTGAATGTGTAACTGAACCTAGAAGCTCATGTGGAGACATTATTCAAAAGGAAGTAGGTACCATCTTTAACAGTCCAACTGAAATGGAACCTGAGTTATAGGATAGAATAGGAATGACAAAAGAAAAATAACACAGTGGGGGTAATGCAAGCTACTCATCCACTTGCACTGTGACCTTTGAAATTCAAGAGCTGAATGTTCAACTGGAGATATGACTGATATATATATATAGGATTGCAAAATGTTACCCAGATAATGGGTATGCACTTCCCAATAGGGTACCTTACTACTACATTCAATGTCTGTGTAGAGGGAACACTTGAGTTGTTGAGCTTTGTTAAAACGCCCTACCTTTCACTCAGTTAGTGCTTTGATGGTATGGTGCTTTTTGCCTGTAGTGTCTCTCAAGTGAGGCTAGCCTGTTTTGTCAGATAGTTTGTTCTGCTCATTGTTTTGAGACTCAAGCACAAACCCTTTTTACAGTATACTCAAGCTAGAACCATGTAAAGTGTATTATGTAATGACATTCCAGGTATGGCGGAACATTATTCTTCAAAGTGTTAAACTGAACAATGTTATATGTTTTGGTGTTCCCAGCTTTTCCAGTGTGTGACTGGTAGATATTTTAAGACTACAGCCTTCCTATTTAGGGCAAAAGCTTTTCCCAAATATATCAGACTATGCTTGTATGTCTAACTCTTCATTAACATGGCCAACTATCAGAATGATTGCAATGGAGACATTTCAGAAGAGTATATTTT